CTGCAGCTGCGCGCTCTGACAGCTGCAGACACCGCCACGTATTACTGTGCCAGAGACACAGTGACACAGAGCAGAGCAGGGGCCATACAAAAAGGGGAAGCCTGTTCTTCTTAATGTAGCAAGATTACAACAGCCCAGACAAGGAAGTTTCCCCCTGAAAACCTCACACACATGGAGGGAAACTCTAATAGGATCATCCTTGGCCATCTCAGGGTTGTTATATTTGGACGGATAACATTGCAGACAGCAAAGGTGTGAGAGCTTCGCTGGGCATTTGACAAGACAGAGCTTACCAAGCAGTACAAGTCTCAAGAAGGCTTCATCACAGAGCTTTTGGGGCCTTGTCAGCATGGCTGGGGATGGCAGTGGGGCTCCTCCTCACTGCCTGGCCCTGCCTGCCCAAAGGGCCACCAGCACAATACTCCTGAATTCAAAACACACATCTTTCCTACAATTGCATTCACCAAAGCATTTCCAAAATGCTTGAGAGGAAGTACCCAGGTTCTCCTCTCCCACTCCAGTTTTTTCTGCACAGCGTGAGGTTTTGTGAAGTATTCGCTCTAATCTCTTGGCGTATATAAATCTCATTTGAGTATATTAGGTCTCAAAATACCAGATCATTCCTCATTTCTTTCTTTGACTGGTTACCCTGAGTCTTGCCTCTCATGTCTTGTTGTAAAAGAGTTTGTCTGGGTGGATGTAACCATTAAGCGATGGAGTACTGGTCTATCCTATTGAGTTTTTGACCTTTCTCAGAAAAGAAAAAAAAAAAAGAGTTTTTTACTTTGTATAAACTCACCGGGTGTTCTTTGTGCTACAGTTCATTTATTAGGTGTCTATGTATTTTTTATACATTGATTCTTAGGTCTCAGCATTGCTTGAGTTGGCTGTACTGACAGAAGCCTCTTTTCCAACAAACTCAAGCAGTGCAAACTCAAATGAGATTCTGCTTTTCTTATAAAATAGAAGTGTCCCAAAACAGGGTGACTTCCCCTTTAAGTGCTTTAAACTCTGTTGGTTTTGCTGTATTTTATTTTAGGTTTCTCCTTTACAATGCTGCTTCAGCCTGAACCAATTTCCCAAATGAAGGATTTAAGGCCACCTCTTGGAGTTACAGGTAGAAAATACCTTGTACAGCTGCTGCCATGAGAACAAAGCTGAGCCATGGGCCCATCGTCCCTGGGGCTGGGGGGGCAGAGATCTCAGGGCACTCAACACTGGGACACCGGGGCTGTGTGCTCCCAAACTGGGAGCTGCAGCATCAGGTGGGAGCCTGCAGACTTTAATCAACAATGGCTGGGGGCAAACTTCAATTACTCATTTAAGCACAAGTGAAATTAATTTACTTTCATTTACTTTATTGTAAGGGATAAAGGCAGCCTTAACCTCCAGGGAAGGAGACCCTTTCCCCTTGGGCACGATATCCTAGGGCTGGTGAGTATGCTGCCACTTCCTAGCATCATTCCCTGAACCTCTGATAGAAACCAGCATCAAATAGAGAGAGACCTGTGGGCCAAATGGGCCTCCGGCCTGATCCATGAATGTCCTACAGCCTGAATTCTCATTTGCTCCAAGACCCCCAACCCTCAGTCACCAAAGGCCCGTGCTATTGCTGCAACAGTAATCAGCTCTGCCTCCAAGCCTCTTCTCCCCAGGGAACAGGGCACATCTGCTCCCACTTGCAGATTAATATCTAAGCTGTAAAAGCAATACAAACCTGGTATTCTCCCCTTATAGCCTCAGAGACACTTGGGGAAGTATGATGCTTCCTGCCAGGATCTTGCATGTGAAGAGCAGACCGAACAGAGCTACTGAAAATAATCACACCGAAACATTTCTAATATCCTTTCCCAAGAGCCTCATCCCTGTGAAGTTTAGAAGAAAAAATCAGGTCCTCTCAGAAAATAAGCTGTGCTGGAGCCTCGCTTTTCAAACCAGCTCTGCACGATCAAACCAGAACCGAGAATCACTCCAGATTCTGACTATTTCAGGAGAATTTACTCCAAATCTCTGGTTCAGGCCACCGAGAATAGCAAACCATGGCATGCAATCTAGGAAAAGACAAGCTCCCCACCACAGAAGACAAATACCACAAGACAGAACGATTTGTCATTTTCCTAAGCTGTTACTCAGTTATTCGGTACTGGTTGGACCTACTGAAAATCTCCAGGGCCAACTCATGCAGTGAGTCAAGAAGGCTCTGCAAGTAAGGAGAGGCTGAAGGGTCAGATCTCCAGAAATGCAGTGACAGGAATAAAGGGTTTTACAAATCAGACCCATGAAGGCTTGGGGCTTGCCAGGCTTTGGCTTTCATCTCTCATTTAAGTGTTAGTGAAGGGAACAATCACCTAGGACCTTGTTCCCCCGCTCTGCAGCACTGTGAGCATCCCTGCAGAGAAGAGTTCATGTGGAAGTGGGGGATTCTTCTCTCTGTCTCTGGTTACATACAGCACCTCGCACCGGTCCCTTCCTCGGGGACTGAGCTTACATGAGGGGCTGGACTCATAGACGTTCCCTTCAGAGAGAACACATACAAATGCAATACCCCAGGGCCCAACATAAACCCTGCGAGTGCCCAGATACCCGAGAGGGGACAGAAGTGAGTGGGTGGTGAGACCCTTCTCCCCATCAGCAATCGCTGCCAGAGCAGCACCATGCTACCCTGGGGGAGCATCCTGTGCCTCCTCCATGGTAACTCTTCCCCCTACCCATGGCCAGGCAGAGGTGGGTGGTACCCGAGAGCACTGCTGGTTCTTACCCCGGTGCCCAGAGAAACCCAGGACAGGATAGGTTTCCAGTGGTTTCATCAGCTCTCATGCAGGGCCTGAGGGAACACGGTCCTTTGAATGTCCTTTCCCCACAGGTACCCATTTGCAGGTCCAGGTGGTGGAGTCCGGAGGGGGAGTTCAGGTGTCCAGAGGATCTCTCTGCCTCCCTCACCTGCCAAACCTCTGGGTTCAACTTCATTGCCTAGTAGATGGAGTGGTTCTGGCTCTCCCCAGCCACGGGGCTGCAGTGGGTGGCAGAGATACGCAAAGCTGCCAACAACCATGCCACCGACTACAGTGATATGGTGAAAGGGTGGTTCACCATCTCCAGGGATGACTCCAGCAGCCTGCTGTACCTGCAGACGAATGGCCTGAAGGCAGAAGACACAGCCCTGTATTACTGTACCAGACACACAACAATCAGAGATGTATTAGAGTCTCTATGAAAACCTCTCCAAACGCTCCCTCCCTCCTGGTGATGCCACAGAGCAGCAGTCATTGAGATAACGGATCAGTCCAGGCCCAGTACTCCTGGATTTCAAGTTCTCCAGGCCTTGCACCACCTGTTTGTGTCTTCATGGCCCCAATCCCAGGTCATCCTGGCCCCATCTGGAGCAGAAATAAAGCAGCCCAGGGTTTCCACTAGTCAATCCAGTATAACATGCCTGCACCCCCAGCTTGCCCAGAGGTATTCAATAGGATCCTCCAGCTTTGGGCTGCTCTCACGCAAATAGAAATATGCTGTGTTTGGATTGCCAGCAGTAAAGTAACTGTTGGTGAGCAAAACAGCTGTTCCAGCAATGGACTGTCCTAGTATGAGACCGCTGCTCTCCCCAGCGCTGCTCTGTACGTCCAACACACCTGAGCCCATCCCTGCAGCATCTCAGCATGTCACAAGTCTGGGGGAGGCCGGGGAGAAAACTGCCAAGTGGGAGAACAGGAAAGTGGGTCTGGGGGGAGTGATGGGTGAATGCCAAGAGGCACGGGCTGGGCTCCAGCACCGTAGTCCTGGGTGCCCCAAAAGGGGAGAAGCAAAGACCAAACCAGTGCTGTCTGGGGCCCGCCCAGTGCCTTTCCCTCCAAACCTCTCCCACAATGGTGAGACTTGAAGAATCGTTCCCACAGCACTGGTGGAAGTCTCTGGGACTGGCCAGGGTCAGAGATGGAGCCTGTTTTGCAGGGCAGGGGCCGCAGGGTACCTGAGAGCATGGTCCCCACTGCCTAAACCTGCACTCCTGGGGCAGCAATGCAAGCCCTGGGTTAATTCACTGCTCCTGCAGACACCCAAGTGAGGGACAACCCTCAGCCCCAAAGCTCCCAAACACGTTGAGCAGTGACACAGCGTGGGCTGAGAGGAAGGGAAGGGAGCAGAAAGGATTCGTGTAAAAAGCAGTCAGTATCTTTGCGGAGACCACACAGACAGGACCCCACACGCAGAACTCGCATTCAGCCCCTCTGGCCCAGCCCTCCATTGCACTGGACCCTCCTCCTCCCAGGGAGGGGGCTGCAGGGCTGGAGTAGAGCGGGGCTCTATGAGAGCAGAGAGATGCAAATCCAGTGCTGCAGAGGCCTCATAAATGCGGACACCCTCTGGTCCTGCAAGGTTGTGGGAGCAGGGGGTGAGCAGAGGTCTGTGCCATCCCTGCAGCCCAGCAGCATGCTCTCCTGGGGATCTCTCCTCTTTCTCCTCATTGCCCTGTCAGGTGAGTCCCCAGCCCCCTGCCACACCCCACACATCCCTGCACACCCCCAGGGAACAACTAATAATAATCCTCACCTGATTCAAAGGCAATGGAAAATCTGCAGTGAGTGGTGCCCTGGCTCCGTGGGTTTTGGTAGAGGCTGGATCCTGAAACATGCTTTTTTCTCCCGCGGTTCCCAGCCCCAGGTGCAGCTGCTGGAGTCTGGAGGAGATGCATTAGGTGTCCTGCCCAGGTCACACTGAAGGACTCTGGCCCAGGGGTGGTGAAGCCTGCACAGACCCTCAGTCTGACCTGCACCGTGTCCAGGTTCCCTCTCCTTAGCTACGCTGTGCACTGGGTTCACCAGGGAGCAGGACAAGGGCTGCAGTGGGTCAGAGTGGGGCAGTGGAAGCACTGAGTGTAACAGCACTCTCCAAAGCTGCCTCATCACCAGCAAAAAGAGCCCCAGTATCCAAGGGTACCCATGTTTCACTGGGCTCCAGCCTGCCTGGTATTACTCCACAGCCTGATATAACTGTGCCAAAGACACAGTGATTAAAAACTCATAAAACCTTGCACAAACAAACATCCTGGCCGTGTGAGCAGCAGAGACAGCATATGCTATCCCCGTGCTCTGCCTACTGGGTCAGACACATGAGGCCTTCTAGATCACATGAACCAGCCAGGGATTAAATTCAGGGAAGGCTCAAGAGTGACCAGTGGGTCAAAGTCTCTGATGGAGTCATGGCATCATAGAAAGTTTGGTCTGGAAGGGACCTCAGGAGGTCATCTAGTCCAACCCCTGTTCAAAGCAGGAACAACCCAAGCTACATCATCACAGCCAAAGCTCTGTCTAGTTGGGTCTTAAGAACCTCGAAGGGTGGATAGCCCACCACCTTTCCAGGTAACCTGTCCCAGTGTTTTGCTACCCTCTTAGTGAGATTTTTTTTTTCCTAATTGTGACAGCCAGAACAAAAGAAATGAATAAGAAATAAATATGTGTTCAGAGCCATTTAGAAATTTTGTCTAATATAAAGCTTGTATTTTTGTAACCCGCAAATGTAACTTGTAACTGTTTGTAAAACTGACTAGGCCTCAAAGACAAAGCTATAGTTGTAAAATTAGCTGACCTAACATTTTTTTCTTGCTCAGAAATTAGCCTGGATGATGATAAACCCTGGGTTCAACCGCCTGGCCTACCCAGCACGTTCCAACAAAGCATGTCTCAAAAAAGCATCGTCAGAGAGATCTAAAGGGGTTGGAGTTAGCAGCGTACTGTTAATTTCAAACCTGAAGATGCTGCAGTGTAATTTGCTTATTGGATAAAACCAAGTCTGGGTATTAACCTTTTATAATAAATTTTAACACCTTTTTATCCCACAGGGCAACAGCTATAGAACAGCATTGTGTATGACTCTAAAGCCAACAGATTAGCATAGGACTAGGTATAAAAAGTGCGTGCATCAGGTGACTGACAGAAGGAGGGAACAGAACGGTCACTGCTGTCCCACGCCCGGACCCCGGACTCCCCGTGCGAGTGAGGATCGGATCCTGATCAAGGGAACGTCCCCGGTAATCCCTCTGACAGTGGCAATGGGGGACGCCTGACTTCTCTGGGATCACCTGGCATTGAGGGACAATGGATAAGTTGCCAACCCATGTCTGTCTATTTGTTGTTTTAAACAGCCAGGGGCTGATACCTTTGCAGTGCCCAATACTACATTATCTGCTTATCGCATTTATCTGTTTGTTAACGTGTGTGTGTGTGTGTGTGTGTGTGTGTAAGCTATAACAAACTTGCAATGCTTTACTCCCAACCCTGCCTCCTCGATCCCGAACCAAACAGCCCAGTGGCTAAATTGATATACTCACAGTGCCCAGCTGGCTGTGACAACATCTCCACCACCCCCGCGATTACTACACCCCGCAACAGAGCCATCAGCATTCCCAGATCTAACAGCTGCACCTCCAGAAATGTAGTACATCTCATCCAAAGCACCAAATGCCCTGATGGAAAATACGTAGGAGAGACCAAACAACAACTGCGCACCAGCATGAACGCACGCCGGAAATCTATCAAAGAGAAGACTATCCAATGACCGGTGAGGGCACGTTTCTCACAAGAAAACCACTCTCTCTCCAATCTCTCAGTCCTGATCCTCAATAGAAACTTACAAAATACTTGTCAGAGACGAGCCTATGAACTCCACTTCATCACCTCCTGGATACTAAGGATTATAGACCAAATATAGACCCAGGATTTATGATAGATTATAACCTGCCTGACATGTGACTCCCCAGGTACATCTCCACTATTCAGCCCCCTTCTTTCCCCCCTCACCCTGCCGCCTCAGTTTACATCTTCAGTGACTACCTGTCTTGTATGCAGACCAGCCTCTGGCTTCTTTACTTTTCATTCCATCCAGGAAGAGCACACACCGACGCCAGAAACTCTCTCAGCCTAAAACAGGATTCTAAACCCAAAAGCTTGCTTAATTATTTTTTCCAACTATTTAAGTTGGTCTAATAAAAGATATCAGATTCACCCAAAGAACACTGTCTACTTCTTGTATCATTATCTTTTCTTATTGCGTTATTATATATTTGGATGTATGGATGAATAAATGAAGAGTGAATCATAAAAGCAGAGTAAGCTATATGTCAGCAAAGAAGTTACCAAATGGTGAATCATGTTGAAGTGGCTGAAGAACTCAGACTGTACCAGGCGAAGAATAAAGACAAACAGAAAAGATAAGATTAAAGACAAGGTTTGCAACATCTCAAAGCTAGAGGCTCTGGACACAGCACACACCAGCGATAATGGAAGGATGTCGTAAAACAGAGTGATTGAAGAGCAACACTTCAAGACAAGGATGCATGAGCCGAACTGCTTCTCAGCATGGAAAAGTATTAAGATTTTAGACAAGGAAGTTACAGAGTCAGGAAAGGTGGACCGGTCACCCAACACCAACTTGATAATCCCTATAAAGGAGAGAGACTTAGCAGTAAGAGGTGGGGTAACACTCTGTGAACTTCACTGGAGCAGCCTGTCTCCCCCATTCCTGATCTCATGCTAACTAGGCTGGCCACCTGTAGTATTTGAGCAATAAACTTTGGTAACTAAAACATCCGCAGAGTAATTTGAGTGAATGTGTGTGTATGTATGAGCACTCTGTTCAATATTATGAGCAATAAATGAGGCATTTTGCCTCTTGTCCCTCATAAGGTCTCGTTCATCATTTGAGCTAATTGGTTATTTGTGCAGCACTCTCACCTCCCAGATGGACACCTTCCTCTCCAAACTCCTCCTCCCACAGTTTCTCTAAGCTGCAGGACAGGAGCCAGCCCAAAGCAGGAAACAGCCTCCCTGGCATGAGTCTGATGGAGCAGCTGGGCCTGATGAGCAGGTAATGACTGCAACTGAGAGGTAATTAGGGCCCCATTAACCCTTTCCAGCCTACTGCACTTCCAGCAGTCTGGTCTCCATCAGAGCACAGAAAAGGTATGTGTTTATACACAGGAGGGTGGAAGTTGTCCCCTTGACCTCTGCAGGACCAGGTCCCACCTCTGCACACACTTCCAGGGACTAGGCCCTTGCAGCCCCAATAAATGGAGATACCCTCCCACCAGCCCCTCATTGCTTTGCAGTGAGAGGGCATCCTGTAGCTGAGCACAGCCTATGTAGAGAGGCAGAGATGTCCAGAGAGACTCAGTGCCCTGCCATGTCACAGCTGTCACCACCTGCCCCCCACACCCCCACGCAGCTCCTGTCCCACTGCACCGGCACACGGGGACCCCAGCTCCTTCCCACCAGCAAGGGACGGCACCACACACCCTGCACTGTGTTTGCTAGGCCCCTAAACAGCCTCCTGCCCCTTTCCCCTAAGCATTCCCCACAAGGAATGCAGACACAGCCCCTGCCCCACAGCCTGCAGCCAGGCAGGGTCAGCTAGTCCCTGTCTCTCAGTCCTACCCAGCCTGAGCGATCCTTGCAGCCCTGACCTGGTGCACTTATGCCTAGGGAGGTCATCAGCACAACACCAACCACTTTTCCTGCTGGGAGTGAGACCCCCAGG